ATATATATATATATATATATATATATATATGTATGTATGTATGTATAAGTTTCTAAGGAGGGTTTCCATTTTTTTTATATTGTTGCATATATAAAAGCTACAGAAACATAATAGAGCATTAACTTACATGTGCAATGAATGTTGTGCACTTTATAATAGAAAATACATATAGTATACTGACCAATTTAAAGCCTTTGTGTTCATTGTTTGTGTTTTGATGTAGTGTATTTGTACATATATAGTGGAAGTTTTTCATTGAATTTTCTATTTACTAATTATTTTTCTTCTATGCTTTGAAAAATGCTTTTGTATATATACCATTTTGCTCCAGTTGTTGCATAAATTGTTTATAGTAATCTTTAAGTTACTTCATTTAAGTTATTTATTTATTAATTGGTAAAAAAGATAAATCATTTTTATGTTCTGTATACTTCTCACATTGGGAAAAATTTTAATTTTAAGATTTTCATTTTGTGAAACTGAAAGATTTTTAATGTAATCTTTGTCTTGACAAGTGAGAGAAACATGGACAAGCTACATACAAACCATGTTCATTAAACAGTAATTTGCTAAAGTCTATTTTTTGTATTGATAACAAATGTACTGTGATATACATGTGTGAGGTATATGATACGAATATATTTATTTTGGGGGATACCTGATTAATGAATAGCAATTGCAAATAGTGGTTTTATATGTTTTTAACTCTACCATATTACAGGTTACAGAATATATGTGTAACATAGACAAAACCTTTGTTCTGTCTAACTTTGAAAAATTATGGTTTTATACATTGTGAATTTTTTATTTTACAAACAGTGTATTTGGAAACATTTTTGAGATGCTTTGTTTCACTTTTTTTTACAAACTAAATATAAATAACATCTATATCATCAATTTTAAACATGGAAAATTTTATTTATTTTGTTAGAGAACAATGAGTTTACATTATATTGATAGGAGTATTGCAAGTATTAATTACAAGTGTTGAGTGTGTAATTTTGGTAGTTTTACTTAAATTCAGTAAATGTCTAGCTTTTGTATGATAGTATATTTATGACAAGTTAGTAAAGTTTTTAGTTACTGTTTAATATGTTTTGTAGATGCCATTTTATATTGTCATCATATTTCAAGCCTCTCATCAGTGTTCAGTTTGGCTCTATTGTAACACCAGTCTTAAAGGAATAGGTTCACACATAGTGTTGCCACTTACATATGGCTTAGTTGACAGTTCAACTAGCAACTGTGTTGAATTAGCAATCAGATATGGAAAATCCATATGTAGGAATTTAATAGTGGCATTACTAGGACTTTATTATTAGGAGGGTCTAAAAATTAGTTTGATATTATGGAACAGAAATATCACATTCATGTTAGTGGGTGTCACAGTGTTACTTTTACCCATGCCATCCTGGTGGACAAACCCCTGAAGCTTAATGTATGGTTATTTGGATATATCTGTGTGGACTAATTTTCATTTTCTTACAACTTTTTTTTCATGGGATAGAATGATTTAGTGTTCCTATGGTTCTTTCATTCATTATATATTATATACTAGCTAGAGTACCCATCCCCTGGATGGAAGTTATGTAAATTCATGATTAATGAAGGGTTATCATAGGACATGAAAAGTTGCTTCCCTTACATGTA